TAGGTTTGTCGACAGTTGAACGCCTCATCAGGTATGGTTTAGCTCTGTAACAAGTGAGCACTCATCTAATTAGCCTGCGTATACCCCCTACTTCGACGAATTTTTGCTCTCGCTCCAAGTTACGCACGGCCAGAATGCGGAAAAGCTCTTCATACAGGAACGCTTGCTATGCAGAGTATCATCTAATTTTTGTGAGCAATTCGAGCAAAGGCCAAATTTTGCGAGCAATTTTAAATTGAATGGGACCATTCGATACCCCTTACCCCTCTCAACAAATGTACACCTTTGTAGTTATACCTTTATTTCAGTATTTATACATTTATTCGTTTGTTTGTTTGCTCTTTTATTTATTTATCACCAAACTTATATAACATATTGCGATTCCGCCATTCAGGATACTGATAATTGAAGAACATCTGAAGCGTAGAATGTTTATTCAGCTGTCGAAATGATCCCTTCTTTCCATTCAGTGTTAGACCATAAAATGTTTATGACTGCTACCAGCTTGAATTAACTGCAGTTTGGGCTAAAAGAGAAAATGAAACAAGAATTATTTAGTTTCCTCAGTTTAGTCCAGACACCTTCGACCCTACCCCCTTTCATGAGTGGTTAAAAATGTAGTGAGAACAAGTATAAAATCTAGCGTGTGCTTTTGGCAGAGGTGTTTCATGTCAGTTCATATGACAAACCATACTTAGGGGAAATTCAGTTTACTGACTAGTATAATTCAAGTTTCCGGTGAGATGAACTGACCGGAGACTTGAGGATTTTGGCGTAGGCTATTTGTACCGGGGAGAGAAGTTATATGGATTCGAAATCCTAAAGTAAATAACTAAGCTCCTACCTTGTAAAGAACTTCCAAAACCTCTCTCGAACCCATAATCCCAAAGTTCAAGAACAATTTTTGCGATCTGTTCTTGGTTTATAAGCATTCTTGGAAAACAAATTTTCCTGCGATCAGTGAAAATAGGGGCGACTTTTCTTGTGCGCGCTTGACGTAACTTCGGCTCGATTTCTGCAGCTCTCACGAGTCCAGTTTACCGGACCCTCCCCGAGAAGCCTTCAAGAGAGGAGCGCGTGCTCCTTTCCCGATCAGCGGCTGGTTATCGAGCCTAGGCCCCACCTTTAATAAGTAGCTTTTATTTCAACAAAACAATTTACAGTCTGCTGAGCACCAGGCAAACAGAAATCTGCCTTAGCAACCATATCAACTTTCGTATGCGCTCGCAATTGACCAGACAGAATCCAGAAATCTTATTGGGTTTATACACTAAAACTTCATTTAACCTCCTATGCAGACTCCTTTGTCATGAAAAACTCAAACACGATCTGCATAGTGGCTAATTTATCCTATTGGTAAGTGTCAATCGGAGTACTCACTGTGAGGGTTTGCAAGAACAGCATGTTTTAAGGCATCCTTCCTTATATCTTCTCTCTCTGCACTTAGCCCACACTTTTGCCCTGTAACACTCGAAGCCTGATATCAGATCCCTGCAACTTCCCGTACCTGCGTCAAGTCAGAGAAAAAAAAGCTTGATAATTAACGACAATGATAATGATGATGATGATGATAAAAGAGATCAGTTAAACCGTGCGTCAAATTCTGAAATTAATCTCGTATTTTTTGCTAGCTTAATCTTTATCCTTAGGAAATTCTTACTTTTTATGCGGGATCAATCGATTACCTAAGACCTATTTACATAACATAGTTAGAAAGGACGCTGAAATTTTCAGTAATGATCATTGAAAACAATCAGAAGATCTCAAGAGAGTTGATCTAAGGACCGTAAAATCTTCAGCAATCATTGAAAACAATCGGAAGATCTCAAGACAGTTGATCTAAGAGTCGTCTTCGGAACCTGGCCGGAAATCTTCGGTAATCTTCGAAACAACTTTGGAATCTACAAAGATAGACCTTGGGTAGTGTTGGAGAATCTTTGGAAAAATAAGGCCGTCCACAAAAATTCGTTAGGAGCGCCCCATTTTTTAGATAGATCAAAGTAGACTTTTTGAACATTAGTAAAATTACAAGGAGGAACAAAGTAGGCACTTCTATCATTAATATCTGTGTGGATTCTACAACTTTAGCTTCGGCCAAAGGATCGCAGCATGTCAACACAATATATCGCAACTTTGGCAAGCTCCGGCCAAACGATCGCACCATTTGAACGCAACATATCGCAACATTGTTGGGCTCAACATGTTGCGCGCTTTTGGCCACCATGTTGCGACATGTGGGGTTTTAAAAATTGAACTAGTGCGCATGCCCGGGCGCAACATTGTTGCACGAACCTGGCCAACGACTATAACATCATGCAATATCCATAAATGTTGCATGAGAAATTTGACCATTTCCAAATTTGAGCCAGCAACATCCAACATGTCGCAACACGTCGCAACAGGGTAGTCAAACGGGCGCAACATGCTGTGCCTAACAATGTTGCGATATGTTGTGTTAAACTGTTGCGATCGTTTGGCTGGGGCTTTACAATTCTTCAAAACGTATGTCATTACCTTGAAAGTAGGCCTTTTCACAAACAACCGGATATTTTGGGGGAAATTTAGAAGTTTCCGAGATATTTAGAGGTTAATAAGATATTTAGAAAATTTAGGGATATTTAGAAATATTCATAGCTTTTTCGGCGAAGCCTTTAGTGTTCTTCGCCATTTCCTTGACCATTTCCTTGGTCAAGGAAATGGCGGTTTCTCACTTGAAAAATGTGTCTCATATCACTAAAAGCCCTAAAGCAGCAATTTTGGAAAATGGCGGAAGTTTTGATATTTGGAATCTTTTTTATCCAGAAAGATATCTATGCGATTTTACGAGATATTTGTGGGAAGGCCTTGCATTAAAGTATATGTTTGTTTTGCGAGACATTTTTCTCACCAAGGCACTGGGCAACTCCACATGTCACATCACATTGTCCTTTATATATGTGGCAATAATAGGCTGGATAACGCTTATCGATCAACCTTTTGCAATCATTTCTTTTGTCGCGGCAATCTGTCGAAGATAACAAAGTAATTAGGAGTGCTAAGGAATATGGACACTGTGCAAATTATTTGGCACGCGACATGCACCAGTATTGAGACTATCGGTCGGAGAGGGGTGAAAAGAAAAATGACGTATGATCTTCATTCCGGGGGGCGGGGAATGCCCCAGTAAATTTCGGGTATGTTTATGCCGCGAAGTGTCTTAAACCTTAACCCTATTTAGGATGAAGCAAACACAAATTGATACCATGTTTAAGGCACAAACCCGAAAATTGAGCCTGTTCCCAGTCAAGGGAAAAACATAAACTAAGAATGGCTTGAGCGGGTCAACTTTATTTCGTTTCTGTAAGATTGGAAGTTAAGCATCAAGCATATAATTTGTTTTTCGTTTAGCTGCGTTTTTACGCACGGAAAATTTAGCTGATGCAATTTAGATATCCTATCTAAGGATCAAACCGGGAACACAATGCCAACAGGAGAAAATATGATATTAAGGGGAACTTCAAAAGCCCTACCCTATCCCACGGCACATACCTAAATAGCCAAGATATGGGAGTACTTCCCGGGTCTTCATTTATTTTGAAAATAGTTTTTTTTTGTTTTAATAGACATTTTGTGATATTGCCGGGAGTAGGGGATACTTTACCCATGTTTGAGTACAGGGGTGTTTGAGCCGCCGGAGCTTTGAAACCTAGCTGATCCTGTTTAGAACAAAGACTATCTTTGAAACATACACATCTTACATTGCACAATACTCTCTGCTCTAGAAACCAGGTTACAACAACGAATTTGGTGCAATAAAAATCATCAAATTATTTTCTTGTTTTGACATTTATCTGATGTTTACAGAGGACGTCCTCAGCAAAAAAATCTGCGATCTTGGATTATTGAATACTGTATCAACATTATTTAACGAAAGCAACCACCCCCCCCCCCCTTACCTCGGTTTAGGACAGAGTCATACCTTGTTTAGGACAAACTCTGAAACAATTATATACGTAGTTAACTGCGACTTTCTATTAAAGGTCGTTCCAGCTAGAAAGCTTCAAAGTTTTACTGTTGTGGGAAAGGGTAATAGCAAAAACAGTTCAGTTCTCACTCACTTTGAAACCTTTGGGAACGGTATGAACGCTTTGATCTCAAAGTCAGGGATCCATCACCAGTTGTGTCTGCAACAAATACAATAAACCTTTATTAGCTTCAGCGAAGGATGTTAAGAATAAGCCGTTGTGACCGTCCTTTGCAGCTGTGCGAGTTGTACGTAGTGCTTATGAGAAGCAATGCGTGGCAATTCTTATAAATATGGTCAGTTGTGGAATTTCAAAACGCTTCGTTGGGGGAAGCGCATCAATTCAATCGATTTTAAGTAGTTCAAAACACAGAATGTTTGCTTATGGTTTGTTTTCATAGTTTTTTCCAGTCTCGCAATATCTTAAAGTCTTCTCACGAAATCGATAATTGGATTAGAAAAGATTATGCCCGTATTTGTGTGTTTGCGAATTTGGCAAACCAAAAAAATTTCAAGGCATGCACTAGTCTGTTCTGTGTATCAACAAATAGATTTGAACGAAGTCAACGTTCTTTCTCGAAACGTAGCCCTTCCTCCTGAGTTCCTCTACTTAACACCTCGTTAAAAATCGCCCCTTTTCCAGAGGAAAATATTTGGAATGACAGCCACGCCTCCACCTGTAGCCTTTTCCCTTTTTGCGTGGTCGTTCCTATTCTAGATAAGACATATTTTCATTTTTCATTCAAGAGAGTGAGTAATTGTGCCAGAAATTACTTGTAGATAATCGCCTTTTTGGCACCAAGAACGAAAACAATCATCACATGACAAGATAGCAAGGAAATTCCTTGCAATGTTTTGAGCTAATTTCAAGAGCGCGGTTTCATGTCCTACATTTTTTTTCCTTTTTTTGTTTCATGTTAAGAATGCAACGTTTTTATAACGACCGCGGAATAGGAAATGATGATGATAGTAATTAACACTTGTTTCTGGAGCATGAAGGCTGTTGCTCTCCTATGTCACGCACTGTTAGCGTTGAATGTCAGAGAGAGGGTCAGAACTGGTCGACTAGACAATGTCCAGAGCCTGAACCGAACGGCAATTCCATGGGATGTACTATTCTAATAAAACTATCACATCACATCGTAGAGTTGATTCAGCACACGTCATGACTATATTGTTCCATTATATATTATTTAATCCCCGCTCTGAATAGATTGTCAAATATATTGTTAAAGAACGTGAACCGCAGAATGGGAAAGATTATATACAAAAGCGGCATCTTGCTTTGAGGCAAAAATCCCCGGAAAAAGTACTTAATTTGACGAAAATGTGGTTACATTTTAAGAAGCATTAAACTTAGGGCAACCCCTAGCTTTTCACTTACAAATTTGTGGCTTGCTGTGATATTTCAATTAGTTGTCGATATATGTTCACCGCGGAGATTCACTGATAAATATATTTAATACATTTTTATTCCCAGCCTAGCAGTTGCCGTCTGCGATATCAAGTTGCATAAGCCGTTTTGTAAAACTGTCAAACTATTCATTCAAAACATTGTATTTTTTACTGCATTTTTCATTGACTGAACGATCACATATTTCTGAAGGCTTTCCTAGTGATGTCTTGAAAGATTCTTACACATGAACAAAATTAAATAACCAAGACAGTTCCACTTACAGCATGAAAGATAGTGGAACTGAAGAGACGAAACACTGACCTTTCAACAGAGCATAACCTTCCTTCCAAATTCATAATGTCTTTACGTATACCTAAGAATTTTTTCTATTTTTTTTTTTAACACGTAGCATATACAAACTTTTTTGCTAACTAGAGTAGAAACTCAAAGACCGAGGGAAAACCTCGACGTATTTCATGAAAAAAGAGTGAACTATGTACTTACCGAGTGTAACTATTCCACTTTCTTTGTGGCGTGGAAGCGAAGAGGTCAGGTGAACTGCAGAAAGAAAAACTGTCACAGCGACCAGCCACGTCAGTATGGAAATGTTGTTAATTTGGCTCGCCATCTTTCTGTTGAGGAACTTTTCACGGTCAGTTAACTTGTGAATAGAGGTTTCCAACCTCATATATATACCGTATTTTAAATATTTTTTTTTGGATGTTGATTTCAACGTTACCTCCCACTCATTAAAGCTGTTTCCGGTGCGAGGGTGAAAAAATTTATTTGCGTCACGGCACTTGTCGCGTTAATCCAAAGTCAAAAGAAGAATGTTTATAATACGAACTGTTAAACATAACAAAGCGAGAGTTCAGTTTTAGGAATTACAAACATTCCGACGTAGACATAAAAAAATGCGGATTTTTACAAATGAAAACATGTCAATTGTTTAATTTCACGTACCTTTAGACTAAACATTGCTGAGCGATTGTATTTGATGGAGACGACCATTAGACACTGGACTTCGAGGCAAAAAGACTTTTAAAACAATATTTGCCGATGTATTTTCCACCTTGTAACAAATATCACTCTTGGTAATTTCTACTTGTTGTCCAAATGATCAGTATCACGGAGACCCCTTTGACTCTGGAGGCTTTGTGTTTTCAAGGTTTTGTCTTTATTTTTCAAAAAAAGAAAATTATCAGTCTTGTAAGTTTTTGAGGTAAGGTGTTGAAATTTTGCAAAGAAGTTCAGTTTACAAAAATATTTGTATTTCTGTATAGATCTTTGTAAAATCTTCATTTCCTGATCAAAAATAATTAACAAGAAAAGCATTGATGAGGACTACCTTTGAACCCTAGAGAATTATTGGGAAACCAAGAAATTTTTTAAGTCCGGCAAATGAGTCTCGGACGGTCGTAGATCGTCGGAGATATCCTCGGGTTACCGACTGCGTCAATATCCGGAACATTCATGGCTCTAAAAGTCAAGTGCTTTATTTGGAAACAATTTCCGAGGTGGATGCGTGTTACCATGTGCAACTTTTTGTCTAAACTATACAAGATGAGGAAGAAGTAACACAAAACCTGCGTTGATATTCGCTACAGACCTGTTGTTGTAACGGAAGAAAACGCTATGGGCACAGAAGGGAAAAACTCCCACCTGAGGAAATCCTCAAAATCTTTTTTACGTCTCACTGTTACAATCAGTTAGAGTTATATTTGATACAGTAGCGTACTGTTTTGTCTATTTTAGTCTGTTATCAAATTGCGACACAAAGAGGAGAGCTGAATGCGCTTTGTTCAGTGACTTGAGCGGATCGGAATCTACCGCACTAACAAAAGAAAACAACATCGAAAGAAACAGCCCTGTCGCTCATGGAATAGGTCGCTCATAAAATCTTCGCATCAGAACATCAAAATTCCTCTCTTTCAATCCAACGTTAACGTTGGGTCGATTAAAAATCGAATTTATATGAAGTACTAGATTTGTCTATCAGTGCCAAATCTATCATCCGACTAGAATGAAATTCTAAAGAAAACCGAGGTCAGACCCATGCAATTAGAAACATGAAAAAACTCAAAAATTCACGGAAAATCCCCGTGCAAAGTATTGCTTTGTGCATTTTTTAGGGTCAAGTGAACTGCGTTTTTTAGTGATACGTAAACTGTTTTATGTTCGTCAGATTTTATTCTTTATATGAAATTCAACGGCTTTAGCGCTCGAATTAGCTCTTAGCAGCAAGCTAGAAGAGTCGGTTTTTCCAGGGAAGTGAATTTGGGAAACTCAAACGGTAAATTCCCTCGGGCAAAATAATTGAAAAATACTGACCTTCTGAGAAACCTATCGTTAAGAAAAATAAGAAGAATTACTGAGATTCATCGAATATTTACATCTGTTAATAGCTGGAGTTTCCTTGCAACTGGTGATGAAAAATAAAATCTATGAAGAATTGCTTAGCACTAGCGTGTGTATTCGCTGAGACCCACAAGAATTTTCGAGAGTTCAGCTCGGCGTTTTGTTTACCAGTTTGATTCAGCATGTTAAATATCAAAAAAAAAAAAAAAAAAAAAAAAACCGAAGGAATGTCGAGGAGATACGATTAATGAACGATGTAAATAACAGTTACAGTTTTATTTTAATCAGAGGTGGAACCACAAAAGGTCACAAAAACAGGTGATAACAGCACCGGTTGCCGGGCGTGGTCCGAAACGGGAATACAACACATCTGCGGTACGAATGTTACGAGTCAAACTTGCGTAGCAAAAGGGCAAGAGGCAGCACTTCATCTGGTAAACAAAGCCATATTCAGTGCTAAATTTGAAATAGCATGCATACACGTATTCTACAGGTAAGGCCGAGGTTATAAGTCTAATTTGACATAAATCTTACTGCCTTCTGATAGAAGCAGTCAATGATATTTGAAATTTGTATCTCAGTCGCTTATTCTGGACCAGAAAAAGCAAACATACTCCTCGAAATCCGTAGAGAGCAATGCAACAGCTTTAAAAAGTGAAATCGGAGAAATTTAATCTTGATGTCGAGGTCAGAGCACTTTTTTCATTGCATTACATAGCCGTGGTATGTACATTAAGATTTCACAAATTCTAAAAACTTTTAAGTTTAGAACTGAAAATATATGGCAAAGGGTTGTCAGTTTCATCAGCTTTTAAACGGCAAAAACGCACGTTCCAGTCGCTATCGTTGTTGGATGTTTAAGATCGCTCGGCAAAATCTGAGTAATAAGAGTAATTCATTACATCAGGACAACTGCTTCCTTAATTTCACTTTGTACCTCGCCCGTTTATTCTGGTTAATTTGACCTCTATTTCATGCACTGCTTGACTCGTGGATAAAATAGCACCCATGCATTTTCCTTGAACTGAGTCATCTGCCGTACAGATAAATTCCGCCCTAACTTTTTCTTACTGATCAATTTTACTCATGATTCTTGTGACATAAGGTTTTTAAATATCTTTGGTCTGCTCAAACTTCCCAATTTCAAAACTCATTAAGGTATGCAAGGAAGTTAAAAGAGAGCGTTTCGTCTGATTTCGTGTTCGGCTTGAAAAGCTTGTATTCTTCAACTTGGCTCGCTGTTCAGTCAAAATAACAACAATATATTTGCTTGATTCCAACAACTGATTGTCCCATGAAATTCATGAAACAACAGTATCCACATTTACTCACAGGCACTCGACTGATGAAGAAAAAGACGGACGTATGCATGCCTTAGACAAACGATTTCAACACGGGCCTTAGAGAAATATCTTTGGACTTTCGTCATGAAGGCTGTACCGGTAAAGAAACAGGGAAATGACAACAAAACTGATTTAGAAACTCCTCTCGCGGAAGCGAAATATAAGGCAGACAATTGTAGCATAAATGATTTGTTTGTATTTCTCATAGTGTAAACTTTATTCTTGTCGAATTTCCGTCCAGACTCCGGAATGAGGAATGAAGCTAAACACTTCCCGTGCGAAACTCATTTCCCCACGGATAACAAGCAGACATAGATACTTATTCCTTTTGCACAAACCAACCAGAATGGCCTCTAACATTATTTTCTTGGATATATATTCTTAACAAGGTAAGGAATGTAAAAAATCGATCCTGACATGTATGGAAAGTTCGCCAATTTTGAAGGTTAGACATTTGTTAGTTTGTTTAAACATCTGCTCCGGTAACTGGCTTTTACAGTAAGATTATCAGGACTTTTATCCTGCACATTCTTTGTCTGAAGTAAGTGTGAAGACGTGGAATCTTACCTTTTTAGTCCTGAATCAAAGATGCGAAAGGACATCGAGTTAACTTCTCAGGCTTTTCAAACAAACAACAATGGAATTGCCACTCTGGGTCACCTTTAAGAAGCGCGCGCAACCTTTATATAGCTCATTTCAACGGATTACTTGATTGCACGAGACGAGGTGAGAAAATCACCCTCGCCCATTTCACACGAGGTGGCGTTGCACGTACTGTAAATCTCAGTAATGTGTAATATATTTTTACGAATTAAATGAACGAAGGTTATTTGGGAAAGGTATCCAACTTGTCTTGTTACATGCCCAAAAATTTCGAGTAAAAGATATGGCCCTTAGTAGAGAACCCGAATGCACGTGTAAGGTCGTTCTCTTGGCAAGGACGCGGTCCAGTTTCTTTCAATATTTATTTTAGTGTTGTTCCACACGAGGAAGGGTCTAGATAGGGGTGCTTAACACAATGTACCAGTGTAACAGCTAGTACATTTTGCAAATCTTGGACCTCAGCTATAAGTTAAAGAAACGCGTTTTTCACAGCTGATAGTTAACATTTTGACCGATTCAGTTTTAAAGTTAAACCCATCCAGACATGCCGATAAAATTCTTTACTTTTTCTTTTCGTTTACAGTAGGCTTTGTCATTGTCCTTGACTTTGTAGTTTTAACACCTTATGAGTTTTTTTATATCTAACTGAATGTATTTTTTTTCTCAGTTTTTAGCCGAAATTTGTAGATCAGTAGTAGACACCCCTGCTGGGAATACTATTGTAGTTGTATTTTTTTCATAATTCTCTTGTTGATGCCCGGCAGTTTCATGAACAAAGTTAATATATTTTTTCAGGATGTTGAGTGTAAATTAAACAAAAAGAGGAATTTGAAAAGAACCTCTGAATTATTACACAACTTTTCGTAAACAAGAAATGCAACGCTCAACCCAAACCCAAATAATACTGCCCTATCATTCTGGCCTTTGACCTTTTTTCTTTCGCGTATAGAATCTGAATGACAAGAAAATCAATCAATCAATAACTTTATTTGAGTGCCTAGTCTTCTAGCTAGCCTTAAGCTTACTAAGTGAAATGCTTTCCCGTCTCTCCTCCTTTCTCATGTGGCTTGGATCCCTCTACCCCGGCTGGGGCCGAACTAAGAGCCCCACCTTTGTTTTTGTTTACATGCGAGAGTTTGGGTATTATATTTTATTCGGAGCATGTCGAAACGAACTAAATCACTGTGAAACTAC